ACTTAGTTATAGAATTATTGTCTAATAGTGAATCATTGATTTGGATTGGGGATATGTGGACAAATAATGGTATTTAATTGTTTTTTACCAAATATGGAAGCCGTGGAAGCAGACAGTTTCTTCATTTCGTGTTGCTTTTTCTCTTATCAAAAGCCAATAACCTCAATACTCGAGGCCAAGACTTCCATCTTATTTACACTGGCACCAATCAGCTGTTGTATTGTTTAAATTAAATATTTTTTTCGAATCATATGGTATCATATATTCGGAATTCTTTTAAACCTCAACAGTAGTGTTTCATTTTTACTTTCGACATTATATATTTAATTAAAGATAGTGGGGTTTGGAACTTCCAGCTTAGTTTCAGATGAAAACTATAAATTTATGAATTTTAAAACATATTTAGGAAGTCAGTATAAATTTTTTTAGTCAACTGGGCATTAAATTGCAAAGCAATGTTAACGAAATATAATAATATTAATAAAAATATACATTTCATTTTTCACATCTGAAATGAGCCAAATTAATTGAACTGGAAAATGTCAGTTTTATTTGACTTAATTCAAACAATCAAAACTCACTTCATTTTTGAGTTTCTTTATCTCGGCCTCCAATTCGTCTGTCTGCTGAAGATACTGCAATTTGGCCTTTCTCTCCGTCTCGAGAATTTGTAGCAGATACGCTTGGTGCTCTTTTAGCTCCTGTCTCGATTCAATCACGCTGCAGTATCTGCAGTAAATAACAACATCATATCAACAGCCGCGGTTTTGAATGTTGTTTTTTTTAAAAAATTATTCAAAATTTTTCGTTTGGTGCTATTTTCATCTTCATTATCATAAATTTCAATTCGATGGAAAGAACACTAAAGGGAAATCCTACATGGTTTAGGGAATTTGTCACAATTTAAGCGTTTCTTTCAAAGGAAGTGTTTATGGTAGTGTAAGTTAATTTAATTGATAATCCTTATTACCAAAGAAGAAGACTAAAATGAAATCAAAATAACTAGGATGAAATTCAAAATTTAATGTTTTCCAAAATTTAGAGTGTTTATTTTTTATATTTAGAATGAAATAGCATAAATGAGCATAAAGGCAAGTCATCGTCGAACAATACCCTAATCCATTTCTGAATTCCATGGTCTGTATGAGGTAAAGGAGTAAAGCCAACCAATGGGACTATAAAGATTGTGAATTTTTATGGGCGTCTATTTCAGCTGTTTTTAACAAAATTCAGGAACTATTTTCATCTGTATTACGGTTTGAATGATATTTTATTGGGGCGGTTAGACCTCATGTCCATTATAATACAAGGCGTGAATATGCTTTATATGCTTTTTGGGATCTTTCCATATATTTTGGTGAGTTGAATAGTTGCAATCTAGTCTAATTTGAAGAACTTTGAAATTTTCAGAAAAAATATTCTGTTATTTCATCTAAGAGAACATGAAGATTTGTTCCAATGAAGTAAGCAAATTATAAGCTCTTATCGTTGCGAATATAATATCACTCATATTCAAGAACCTTGAAGTACATTCCTCATGGCAAGGTAGTTCGATCCATGCCTCGAGTATTCTCCTTGCGCACAAGTTATTTCAGTGTGATTTTGGTATTGTTGTGAGATAATTTAATTGAATATGTTTGCCGCATTTTAACTGCCTCAAAGAGACTCTTAATCCGCGAACTTTGTATTGTCAAGTGGGAAGCAGATACCAACACTTAATGTTTTCTCCCTATATCACGTGACCTGTTGTAATTTGGGAAACTTTGTATAGAAATTGAACTAATATGGAAGATTTTTTTCAAAAAACTCGCATTAAAAGCAGATAATTCGAGAGCATGCAATAAATTATTCATTGGACAATATCTTTACAGCGGAAATCCAAAAAATCTTTTTTTAAGTGATTATATTGTTTGGGATCCTTAAAGATACTTTAACAAACGTTCAAAAAATAAACCAAAAGTGATGCGCTTACGTTAAATCATCACATTTTCCAAAAAAATTATAGTTTGAATCTCATTCCTATAGGTAATAATCACTCTACTTATAAATTTATTGCGAATAGCAAAGTTTAAATTTCCCTTATATAGTCTTAGAATTAAGGGTAATATGAACCAGTACTTCTGGGAAATATTTAAATCAAATGTTTATTCAATTATATGATACATTAAATGTGCATTAATTTTATACGAATTAAAATTTTTTTAGAAGCAAAAGATTATAGTATCTTACTGATTTAGCTTAATGAGTTTCCATTGACAACAAAGTATATTGAAACCATGTGCCTCCTTTTCGATTTGCTTCCAAAACACATTCAAGTATCATCTGAAATGGCGTCTATCAATAGAATTTCTTTGCTCTTTTCGAAGCCTCTTTAAGAAGGCCATAATGAATCCATTATGCATTCTTGATCTGACCTAGTTCCACTTCTTGGTAAATAGCCTTTCAGTAGTGATAAAAAACTTTTTGAATCTATATAACAGTGAGTACTTTCTCGTTTAGATATTTCATTGTATTGTCAAGAGAATTTTGCAATCGTGACAAGATTTTTTTGTGGTTTAGAGGGGGGAGGGTTATTTGAGGGAGACGCCATATAAATCAAACCAGACAGATCTCAAAGAAAGGAGAAAGAAAGTTAAAATGGGGATTACAGACGTCTGAAAATTTAGAGATTCAAATTTTTGCTACTTTAAAAATGGAAGATTGCCAAGCTCTCTCTCAAATGCCCCACCCTTTTGTCTGTGTTCTTTAGGAAGCAATCTAAATTTGTTGATTGAAGACTACATGATAATGCAATGCAAGTAGTTTAACACATTCTCATGTTACGATAGAGTGATGCTATAAGTGAACGTATTCATCTGAGACAACCCTACATTTTCTGAGCTTACGTATGATCGTTTATTTTAAAATATTTCATTTTGTCCTTTTTCGGTGGCGCTTAATATAATTCACTTGATTTTCTGGTGCGTTTAAACTTATTTCTTAAGAACAGTGCAACTGCATATGATTATGATGGGTGTAATTTGAATCTTATAACTTTCAATGAAGTTCTTATTTATGTAAACGATCTCTCTGTTATCAGTAAGAGAGATAAGAGAAATAGAAGGGAATCACAATAATACTAAGATCAGTTATAAAATTTATATTTTTAGTAAAGAGTCTTATAATTTGGAACAAATCTCGGGCCACTTGCTAGTTATTAGCTAAAATACTGAATAATAAAAAGCAATATGTAAAAAGTGCCTCTTTAGAAGGACAACTTCATTTCCATTAATTAAAAGAGTCTTAAAATTTATATAAATTAATTCCTTCGTTTCCTGTCGATCATTTTTCATAGGGTATTTAATTAATTAATTAATTTTTACTGATTTATTTGTGTATATTGAATATATTTAGTGTAATATTTTATTACAAGATAGTTAATTAGTAAGTATATCCAACAAGTGATTCGAGTTAGTTATCAAAGTTTAAACAATTACAGCCAAATAAACCAATATTTTTCATTCATATCTGAGATATATACTAATGTTATAATGAGTTTTAGATAAAGCATGCTGGCGTAAAATATCCGTCCACAAGGGTTTAAATATTATTATGTTAATGAAATGCACATTTATAAAGTACGATTTTGAGAAATGAAACTCTTGCCAAAATGGATTAATTAAATCAAATTTTTATTAAAGCCACTGCTCGTATGTTCAACACGCAAATGTAATACTTATAATTACCAATATTTATTTGATTTTCTCATTACATTGACCAATTTGTTGCAAACGAACAAAAATACGAGGCCACAATTTCGAAATTTTGATTAAATATTTCTAAAATTTTCAATATCTTAGAACTTAACTAAGATACAATTTTGTAAAATATTGAAAAGGTTAATCAAATTAATGAAAAGAGGAACAATTTGGTGATGTTTTGATGAAATTCGGGTTTCCAGACAGAAAAAAAAACTAGTCCTCATATATGGACTTTCAGAGAGCTTGGTCGTAAATAGAAAGGACTATTTTTGTTAGTGCTCACTTCAAGCACTTATCGTTTCTTAATATAAAGATATTGGACTTTAATGCCTTCTAACTACCTTGAAATTAAATTATTTTTTTCATTATTTGTGAGCACACAGCAAGTTTTAACTCACAGAAGATCGGCTTATATCTAGGTCTTCAGACAGCCTCCAACAAAAAATTGTTTTTCTTCCCGCAAGGTTTATGAATGAAAACGAGTTCGTAATCCCGATTTGATCTAAAGTCTGCCCTAAAGTTCTGAATTGCAGATGGTATGATTACATAATGATAAAATTTCAGGAATTTAATTTATTTAGTGGTTTGATTTTCTTTTCTGTTTTTTTCTTACTTAAAAAATACTTACTTAATCTAGTATTTTTATCCATTAAATACTGATTTAAAATTCCAGTTAGCAGGTACTTTTTGCATGTATCTCTATTTGCTATTGTCTTTACGAAGGCAAATATTTCCAATATTCGAGCTTATTTAATTTAGCGGTAATCATTGGGAAACCTTTGAAACTCATGCAATAATGTGACTTTCCTAGGCAATAGCATTGGGCGTAGATTCAGTCCCCTCTCCATTAATTGTCAAAAGTTGGAGGTGCTTTTTTAATCAAAGGATTAATTGTTTGGAGACTAGCTTTTAATTAATTTTAAGTTAAAGTTTAGGGTACTTCGCATGACGATAAAAAGGATCATATTCAATGACATCTGCAATTTAGTTAGGAATTGTACATCACGTCGAGAGCCCAATTAAAATTATCTAAAAATAATAAAAATCCTTTTTTTAATTTTTAATCTGTCATAAAATGTTTGTTCTCAATTTGTAGATCATTCAACCAATGCATACACATTCACAGCAAAGTTAAATATATATATGTAGTATTTTGAAACGTTTCATTAATATGATTTAAAATCAATTTTAATGGGCTTAGTGACACAAATCAGTATAATGCAATAAATTTAAATGAAACGAAAGAAGCTGATAAGGAATTCAAACATTCAAATATAACTGATAAGTATTTAATATTTTTGCATAACGATACCTTGCACACCGAATGGCTGCAACCCAATCATCGCAACTTTCTTCACTGTTCGCTCGGAGTTCGTAGTACTTCTTCCGTTTAGGCAGATAGCATATTGTGAAGCAGTGCTAAAATGAAGTAAATGCAGCCATTCACTCTAATGTCTCTTCCTACTCACTTCACCTTAAACGATATCTAATGTTTTCACCTACTTAACCTTGCTTAACCGAAATATCAAGTGAGATGATACACAAACTCTCGTGTGCATAAATTTACGTTGTTTTTTTTGGAAAATGGCGTCATGAAGAAACCTGATAGGCGTTAGGTAACTCAGCCAATTGGTCCATCTTTTTTGTTCTGAGATAAATATAGCAACAGTTCTTAAGTAGTGGGAGTACTAATATAATACTTAATATTTGACTAGGAGAAAAGGTAGATTTTTCGTTAGACCATGATAAAAATTTGATCATTCAACCCAGAATATCCAGGTTTCGAAGCAGTGGCCAAGAGATTATAAACTAAATTATTATTTAATTTATAATTTTAAAAATGAAACGAAAGACTCTACTTTGAGTAGATCTTTGTTTGACATGCTTCCTTTTCACTCTTTCTTAGTCTTCATGATACCACTCCGAAAGTGAATTAAACATTGAACCTCCATGCTGAAAGTCGATAAGGCAGGTTCTCTAAGTATTTACCTACTTTTATTCCTTTTTGTTTGATTTCTCTACCCAAATAAAATTGGAACAGTTTTATAAAGGTTATAATATAAACTCACTAAATTTTTTCTAAATTTATAAAATACTGGAGACCAATTTAAGCTTTTTAAATTTAATGTGTATCTATTAGTCTTCTTGTAGCACATTGTAAAATCTTAAATGATCCCTAGCGCAAACCTTCAGTAATAAACGAAATTTAAATAAATTATTTTTAATGCAATGTTTGGAATAATAAATGTTAATACTTTATCAACTCTGTCTAGACTGCAAATAAAAATAGGGCACTTTATAAAAAAATAATTTTCTAATATAATCAAAGATATCGCTAAAATTTATCCGATTACTGTGTTTAATGGTTTCAATAAGACGGAAAAGATTTCTCATTGACTAATTAGCCTTTGGCGCCATATTGTCAACAAATCACCCCATTTATGATTTAAACAAACTCACTTCGTGTTGAGGCGCGGTGCGTGTATCACGAGAGGTGCGAAGAACAAGTGTCTTCTCGCAGTAGGATCCTTCTAGCAAGGCCATCCCACATGGCGCCTTATCCAATTTATCGGATTCAAATTGAAACAAAAGATTCTGATAGAGAACAAAGTACCTAAATTGGGAAAGTGAAATAGAATTAGCGAAAAATTTGTTTTAATTTAAAAAATATTATTGTTTGTTATTAATTTTTTATTGGTCACTACTGCATGTTATGAAAGCCATGATGATTATTGTATTTAATAATACTGTTGGCTTATTCTCAAATTCAGCTTAAATTTCATTTCCATTCTTTATGCTTGATTGAAATAAAATGTAGTAATCAATGTTGAAAAGGACTTGTGGACAACATTACTCCTCAAGTAGTTCTGGATACACTTAAGACCTTCTTACATATGGTATTTCATCGTTACCGTATTGAACGCAGACTAATAAGCAGAGTGACCAGCCAAGCTGACAAACTCGAAGTAATAAATAGGAACGCGTACTTTTCAAGTTTCTCATCCGGATCCACCTTGTTGGCATTTCTTTACTCAAGATGAGTGCAAATACACTTGGTGTGTACGAAGACAATGAAGTAAAGTTCAAATGTTATTTTTAGTAAGTTCAGTTTATAACAATTATACTGCAAATTTATTTTTACCTGATTATATATCCACGAATTTATTTTTTTAGAATATCTTGACCATTCAAGCGAACATTTCGAATTCTGGCAGTCTATTGCTTATTTTATTTCAATAAACCACTCAGTAGAGAAAGTGCTTATTATTAAAAATTACTACTAATAAGAAACTTAATTTATTAGTAGTATCCACATCTGTGAAGTTTAAAGTTAATTGATTGCTAACTACTTACCTCTGTTGCCATTTGCCAGAAACTGAGTTTTTCTTCCAAAGATAGCCCGACATTGTCGCTTGACTATCCTGTCGAGCCTTTGTTGCCAGGTAGTTAAACTGGGTTTGTATCAGTCTGAGTGATATTGGCATGATGAACCTCCAAGGTAAAAACAATTTCGTTGATTTTATGTATGTTATCGGTATTGACATAGCTAGTCCCTAGGCATGGGATAAATACAGCTCTGAAATCACATTAGTGGCAGATTAGATCTTTCTTCAGGCACTGCAAGTTCTTTAAATCGCTCATAAATGAATTTAGTAAGAATGGTTTAGATTTCTATAATTTCTTAACCTCCCTTTCGAGTTTACAAAATATATTATTTATAAAATATAATTTCACTTCAACTTAGTACTATGCCATTTACTCGTTAAATCTAGGCCTATTATTCAATAATGCGTATTTATAATAATACGTCCCATAAAATGTATCACTTCTTAAGCAATGAGGTGAATAAAACAAATTTCACAAATTGCAGTATCGAACCGCTAATCCACTACGCTTGAAATGATTTCAAATCTCATTCAAAGCTAATGAACGATCAGCCAGATAGTTATTTAGTTAGAATTAGCAAATTTGTGTCATAAGAGGCTTATTTCATCGCGAGGTTTTATGGGTTTCCCATAAACTGAATTAGGATTGAAAAAGGTATGCAAAAAAAACAATTAACCCGTTTTAAAGACCTTTGCAAGTAGGCAAAAAATAAAGCCTGTTCACTCAGCATTTACAGTAAGTTTGAAAATTACAATAATCAAGTTTTATTTCAAAATAATTAAATCCAATAACACAGATCAGACTCATTATCAAAAATAGGTAAGTGTTAGTACAAAGAGTGAGACACTTAACACAATCACCAGAAAATGCTTTGGCAAGGAGTTTTTTTCTAATTAAAATAATTTAATAATTTGCTCATCCATAAGACAATTATTCTTCCATTTCAGCCATAAAAAATAATGTTGGTGACTAATGACTCTTATAACTCAAATGATTTGAGCAACCCTATCAGTAGAATATTTTTACCTGGTTTAAAACCGAATACGCGTTGACATTTGCACTTCCAAAAATGTCTCGAAAAATCAAATATTCATAAACGAAAAGTATTAATAGAGACTAGAGTTAATAAGAAAAATGTTTTCACGATTTGCGACAATTATTGTCTTCTTTTTCGTTAAATTTACATGAAGAATCATACTTTTGAAGCAGAGTTAAATAAATACAGATATGTTGACAAAACAGACTAATTTTCAGAATCCTTTAATGCCGATTTGAATGCCCATTTTCATGCTTTGAAAGTTTACTTTTAATCCTTTTCAGTTGGTAACTATTTAAACGAGCCTGAAATTGGAATAATAAAGTTAGTTGATGTGGCAGAGTTCTGTTAGTTCATAGAATGGGAGAATTTCCAGAGTAAATATTCTGGATTTTTCATTATTTTTATTACTTTTGATACAAATCGTAAGAGTTAAACTCACGAAGTTTGCAATAAATGTTAACAAGTAAATGCCGATGTTTTATGCAGATGTCTTTACTGAAAAACAAAAAGCTATTTTTTGTTTTTTTAAAACTGCTGAAATCGGAATCAAATTGTTCGTGTACCCTAAAAGATGTAAATGTCTCGTTTAATTAGCTGTTCGTGGCAGTAACAATGATTATAATTGATTAAACTTTAGGCTAAAAGTTTAAATATAAAATTTTGTAATTTTAAAATAAAAATAACAGGTGGAAATGTTTAAAAAATTAATTTTGTAGCACTTTTTTATTTCTTGCATAAAAATGAATTTTCTAATTATCAAATTTGTTAGTAAGTTGGATGAATTTAACAATGGCCAAACAAACTGTAAATGACTTTGCTCTGTCCAAAGACTTTTTTCTACGTCTCAATTATTATTTAAACATGAAAATTTCCACAAAAAATTAATATGAATGTTATTTTTAAAAAGTGTGAATAAAATGTAGGAATTTTTAAATGAAATAATATTAAAAGGTGCTAAGCATGAATACCTTACGTGATGCACTTGTAACTTTGATAATCCCCGATTAATTGTGTACCCTCTTAAACATGAACAGCATGATTAACTACTATTTATCTACTCAAAGTCCATTGGTCTAATGTTGCCGGCCAATCAGCTGAACTTCATGAATTTCCCTTTTGACTGTCGCTATTTGTAAAACAAGATAAAGACTCTGTGACGGTTCAATAAATTTGGGGGGGGGGGAAGTGTGCTCTTCATAGTTGTTTTACTATCTTCCCCAATCAAACTTAACTCAAAAGAATTAAATAATGCAATAAATTTCAAATGTAAGAGTTTGCAAATACCTCAGAGAGTCCAAAATGAGACACAAACAGGTTTATGCGAAGTCTGGAAGCACGGTGTGCTCACTTTGGAAAATCGCAGCTTTGGAAGACTCACTTTTAGTCACTCAATTCATGTACCCTTGATAAACAGGGCAATTAGACCAGTTCATTTAATTAAATAATTGTCTAGGCCAATTCGGCTTATCTTTGCGTTGATGCAAAAATGAAATCAGTCATTTGCAAAAGTCTTGAGCAGTATTTTTTTCGCCCATTGTGCGAAATTTTGTTATTGTCAACGCAACTTGACAGAAATTTTTCATTTTCTACCACAAGTCTTCCTTTGTGCAATTACTTTGTTACTTTCATAAACTCAATTTCAGTTATTTATTTATTAATATATGTTTAAGTATTTCACTATTTATTGGTGGACCTTGAAGTTAGTTTCATTTAAACAAATTATGACTTTGTATCTATTCACTCTTCCATAATAACATACACCGGTGCCTTGGGAATTAATTTCCACACTTTCCATGTAATTTATTTCCTTGTTAGGTTTTATTTTAGGCAACGGATTTATAACTGTGTTTAAATCAGAAATCTTCAATTAAGAAGATTAATATGCCTTGAGATGACAAACTGCCCTGCGTTGGGCCAAGTAGATCAACTGAAGATTTGAACAAACAAAAACGCCTCAACTAAACAAACGCCATAGGTCCACTGCGTTTGGGGACTTCAGTGAGCCACTAATCGCGGTTTCCTTGAGTTTTGCGGGAGGCCAATTAAATCCTTGGGGAAGCTTATGGGTAACCATTAAAAAAACACTAAAATGCTAAAGGGCTTTTTTTCACTTGGCAATTAAACAATGGATGAACTAAAAATTCCTGGAAAAGTTACCTTCTCCTCACCTCTAAGAAGCTTCAAAGCCGTACAGTCGTCAATCAAAACAGTAGAATCTTTATTTATAAACTGAATAAATCAATTTTAATTCTGCGAATTAATACAGTGGAGCATGAAAGATTGTCTGCGATTTCAGATAATTTTCAGCTTCAGATTTTCTTATAACTCCTTTTATTCTACCGTCGACCAGGTTAGTAAGAATTCCATAAGTTTGTCTAACATATAATTATTCTTAAAAATGGAGATAGCATATGGGTCAGAAATGTATTTAAAAAATTTTTTAATATTTAGTGACATCTAATCATATTTTTATTATCTTTTATTAATATCTATTATATTAACTTCCTTATTTAAGCTTTTAAGGTGACTCAAATGGATCCTCATTCTAAGTGCATACCTAACCAGAGAGGAAAATCATTGCATTCAATGTAAGTTCGCCAGCATTAATAGAACTTGAAAATCTTGGGAAAGCAGATTAGATTATAGTCGATTCTCATTTCGTTCGTGCGACTGAATGGGCTGCAAGTCTTTTCCTTTCTCGGCATCTCATGTAGGTCTTTTCTAAGCTTGCGTTTCTCAAGTTATACATTCTATGATGGGAATACAGATATCCTTCTGTGGGGGGGGGGGTAGGAAGGGAGGGAGGGAATGGACTATAAGATATGAATGGAGAGCTTTGAAAGGAGTGATCACTTTAGATTAATTTCACACACACGCCTTGCCAACGCAATTTGCAGCACTCGTATTACCTTCCATGTCACATAATTTGATCTAATTCGATTTGTACTTGCTACACCAATTTTGAATTACCCTCCCGTTATATAAATTAGGTATTATTGCTGACGTCTAACTGTTTTGAGTGCGGTTGATGAATTAACACTGAGCTAATTATAATATGGGCAAGTTAATTCCAGTTGTGTATGACAAAATTAACCACGGCCCCTTAAATATTTAAAAATTCAAGAAATAATTAAAAATGAAATTTTTGATCATTTTGCTACTTCCTTAGTAACTGCGCAAAAAAAGTCAATTAGTATAAGCAGTGAATTGATGCAAAAACCATAAAAACTTTCAGCCGGCGATTGAAAAGTTTTGATAAAAGGGAATATTCAAGAAGATAATGACAGAAACATATGAATAGGCTGTGAATAATACGATAAAATGGATTATTGTTTGTAGGCCTGTTAACTAATATGAAACCTGCTTGCCCATGCGGTAAGGAATTGAAACGTCTCTCTAAAACATAAAATAATTTAAAAGCACTTTACAATAGGAAATCCATCAGCTCTCATTCATTATTTGGAAACTGAAGTGACCGAATTGCTAATGTCAAATTTACATTGGAGCCTTTCATGTTTCTTTTTGTTATGAAAATTAAAAGAAGGAAGCTAAACTTCTATATTAATATAATTGGGATACGCGGTAGTCTTATCTCCATGTTGCGTACCCTAGACAACTTATACTCGTACGGCCAAAAAAGTCTATAAACAAGTAACTGACTTCAAACTACTATGACCCAAATGTAAGTTATATTCCACCACTTTCACAGTACTCACCTCATCTTACCTTTTTCTCTACCTTTGTGCCAGTCTCCTTTACAACTGTGAATCACTATTCTGTCCCCCTCCCCCCCCCCCACCTCTTCACTACCGGAGGATCTGATGTTTCTCCCATCTGTGAAGCCCGAAATAAACTAAAGGGCTAATGATAAATATCATAATGCCTGCCATTTGCCGTAGCTATTCTATAACCATATCTGTTGTACAGAATTTACCGCTTCGCTTGAACGACCAAGCACCAATCAAAGTCGATCTACTGATCTACATCTTGGAAAGCGTGCTCATTAACTACTGCAACAGGGCTGATGGTAAGTTCTCTTTCGCTTTTCAGGCTGGGGAGGATTATATTTTTGTGTTTTTCCCAAAGTCAAATCTATTAAAGTTTAAAGAGCAAGAATTTCAATACTTCTTTCTACTAGTTAATTAAATGAAGCATTCCCACTAACTTCCACTATCTACAAGCAATTTTTTTCGAAAAACCATTTCAAAAAACGAGCAGAGGCTTCGGGGATGGGTACCTCTGAAGTGTCCATATTCGAACTGTCTAGTGATGGTTCCGCCTCCAAAATAACAAGTTAATATAAAATAACGCAATAAGGGCCGTCACTTTCCTCGTGCTTTTGGAAGCCGAATTCGAAAAGTGACAAACTTCGGTTTAAATCACGAAAAGTGACATATTTTGATGTGAAAAATACTCTTTTTTCGTATCCACAATGAGAAAAAAGGGAAGGTTTAATCCTTGTGCTTATCGTAAAAATACTATCCTTCACCAAGTGATTTCTCATACCAATATCTTTGCAACTTACACGTAGATTTTGAACGTGGTCTTATGATCAAGTTGTAGCAAAGCTATTTTACGTAAATAAATAATTAATTCTTTCAGGTAATGGGACTTCTTATGTTTTCAAATTGTTTATTTTTAGTTTATCCAAACAAATATTACCGGTATAAAGGGATAAAAGAACTCAAAATTGCATCCTAATCAAACTCTTTTTTCGCATATCCATGGCGAAATTTAACTTAATAATTTCAAAAAGAACTCGAACGATGCCAATTTCAGATAGCTTGATGAAATTCAAAGTTGAGCTCTGATTGATTTGCCTTTTGTATTGAGACCCTTCAATTTTGATCAATTCCATGGTGTTTGGAAACGAAATATACGCCTTCCCCCCCCCTCCCACCCTCTCTCTTGAACTCGGAATTTTATTCCTTCTGTCTTTCTCAAACTTGCCACTCTGAAAATCGCTGTGCTCCAAACGTTTCTGAAGGAACTGCATAAGAGCGATATTTGCCATTCTAAGAACTCTGAGTCAAACTTTTGTCACTTCAATTAAGAACTATTAAGGCAAATTGGGTACATTTAATATTGACAAATTAATTACACTCACTTGAAGATGGATGATTTATCTTTAAGAAATTCTCACATATGTCCTAACGATTGGTCATAATATCATATTTACCAAATTAATATTCCTCCAATGAGAGCATGATCATTCGATTAATCAATAAATTAAGGACCAATATACTGCTTTATTTTAAGGCAATAGAGAAAGCCCAATAAAAGTCCCTAAATCGGCTAAACTTAATTATATTCAGCTTCTAAAATTTCAATAGATGTGAAATAACCTCGAACTTGTTCTGCGTTTAACATCCCTTTCCACCTAATTTGCCTCGTCCCAACCCACGTCCCAGACCTCTCTCCCCCACCCCCCTTGTGCCCTTATGTTGTAATTATATAAACATCACCAGTAGCTGAAAAGCAGACAGTGTGACGTGAATTCTCACTATCAGGAGGTATTAAATTAAAAGTTATTTTATATATTAAATAATGTTATATAAACCCCATTACGACTGCCTAATTTCTCTCTGACCATTCACTCAATATCGAAATTCAATAGAGGTCATCAGCTAGTTTAATATGTTTCCCTTACTGAAAAATACGCTTTCAAACAATTTTTTTGTCTGGGGAGGGGAGTTTAAATTCTGCGTATTACAGTTGATGAAACTGACAGAATTCAAAGTAATTTCTTATTCACAGACAATTTCGTAAGTCCCGTGGTTTCCTGATATCCATGATTCCGCTGGCCACAACTTGGCACGTGGGATTTCGATTTTCAAAATTAGTTCTGTGAACTTAGTAGTGCGTTTTGAGTGAATATTGATTTTTTCCCACTGTTCAAGAAAACAAGTATCTCAATTTCCATATGATCAGGTTATTGATAGATTTCATTATCAAAATCTTTTTAACCAGTGGTTTCGGGTGTATGCTATCAGTGACAGTCAATCAATTTTATTCATCAATTAATTCTAGTCACTTTCTACTAGCTTGTAACTTACTCCAAAAAATTTATTGCCATAATTTACAGACTTTCAATTTTGAATATCTTCTTTCAAGGGATAATTTTATAAAGCATCAGCCAAACACAGATGACTTTGAATGCAAATGGCGATTTAAAATCCCTATGTTGTGCATGGCAACTTGTATGGTAGCTTTCATGAAGAAACCCTCATGTTAAAATTGAGAAGGACCATTACTAATTGATTCGTTTAATTTCCTTTAGCCGTGATGGGAAAAGATGGGAATGCAACAGCCCCTTAATCCACATAATAATTTTTGTTGTTATGATTCTGACCTTGGAGATGGAGTTTTTCGCATTATCACATGTGCTATTTGAGTAGAATCATAGTTCAGTCTACTGATTCTGGCTTTTCTGGTATTGAGATATAGCGAGTGGAATCGAGTGCGTTTTTCAAGTGTAATAATTGTGGCAGTATGTTGGTCGTGTTGTACAAAGCAAAGTACATTGAAAGGGGAGTGGCAGTCTATAATGACATTGGATGTTTTATACATAATGTGCTGAAATTTGGAAAGGGGAGGGGGGTGGCGATTTGAAGTAAAATTTAAGGATACGTAAATTGCATGTAAATTCTACTCTGCCATAATAGGGAGTAAAATTAAAAGTTGTACATGATGGGGCTAAGTTGTTATTTAAGCAATCAAAGCATTATTTCATTTTCATCTGAACAAAGGGTATTCGATCGTTGTTGTGCGCAAGTAAATCGAGACTTACTTACTCACTTAAATACACGGAGGTTTAGAAAGGACTTAAAGCCAGCTGCTGAAAACAGCCTTTCATCTTTATTTCACCATTCCTTTTTATGTGTGTCAGCATGTACACTTTGTCCTACCCNNNCCCCCCCCCCCTCATGCATGTTACACTAGTAAAGCCATGATTGACTCACAAATCTCTATGGCTAGGCTCATAAGTGCCAATTTCAACTACATTTAACGTACCCAATATCTTAGAGATACAAATAAAGATTTATTGGCTTTAGGTTTTTAGTCTGTCAGGGTGTTCAATATGGAACGGGTCAGAAAGATGTAAAAGTCAATCAATGTTACTGGAATATTTCGGGCATTGGCAGAAAAACTATCCCAATTCATTTTTGAGAAAATTTAAGTTAATATCGAAAGTTCACTTATAAAGGCCCTATTTTCAATGTCAGTTGGATAATTGTCGTTATATGAACAAACATTTGTACAAACAGAACGTCTACGTGTGTGACAGTTTTTTTCTTTTTCTGTATTAATATCGCTCCGCATCGGTAATTCCTAACTAAACTTATTCATATCTAGTAGTTTATTATGTCCAGGAGCATTAATATATAAAAATTATTTACAGCTTGTTCTTTATACGCAATTAAATATCTAGAACGGAAAGAAAAAAAATAATATCATATTATCTAGATAGTTTTTATTACTGAGAGGTTGATTAATAATGTACAGAGAAGTAGTGACTTCAGTATGGCGAGAAGTAATTGGTAAAGCATATACTAACCTATCCACTAGCTAAATTATCGTGCCCAATATTCACAATTGATTAAAATATTAAAGTGATTATAAATAATGTACTAAAACGATATTTAAAGACGCTATAATGGTCTTTAAATGTAGGTTAAAGCCACGGTTACTAGTACGTCGTTTTAATTAATTTGAGCAAGTCTTCCCTATTCAAGACCTTAGTTATCGTTAAGGCTTGAGTTGTCCAGCGATGTCTGTTGCATTGAAAAGATTGACGGCTGAATATAAACGTTAGTTCAAGTGTATTATCTGACTTTGTCGATATTTTATTTATCAAAATAATCTGCCTTTCGAATTTTAATTTTAGAATTTTCTTGTAACCCTCCAGAGGGAATTATGGCTGGGCCAATAGATGATTCCAATTTCTTTGAGTGGGAAGCCCTTATAGTGTACATTTCATTTCTATTTATTTCAAGATGTTATTTCTTTCTGATTGTGCTTTTTTTCTTTATAGTGGACCGTCCGACACACCTTATGAAGGCGGACTTTTCTCTGCTCGTCTTTCTTACCCTCCCGATTATCCGCATTCACCACCTAAAATGCGTTTTGTGACTAAAATTTATCATCCCAACAGTAAACATCTTCTTTAAGTTCCCACGCTTTTTCCAACTCATTAAGTTATGCCAAGTTTGTTCATTTTAGTCTATCCTAACGGTAATGTATGTATTTCCATCCTTCATCCTCCTGGAAATGATCCTCATATGTATGAAGATGCCTCCTTAAGGTGGAGTCCAGTACAATCTACTGAGAAAGTTCTTCTTTCCGTAGTTAGCTTGCTTTCAGGTACGCTGCTGACTTGGGATTGCTTTTATTAAATAGATATTTCTAAGTTTATTTTTCTTTTAGAACCAAATTGTGAAAGTGCTGCTAATGTGGAAGCTGCGAAAATGTTTAGGGAAAATAGAAAACAGTATGATGAAATTGTTCGGAATTGTGTGAAAGAATCCCTCGCTGCCAAGAAGGACGACAAATAATTTATTATTGAACTAATAAATTTATTTTAACTTATCCGTTTTACACATTGAGTATTTTACGGTCTTTACTAATGACCTGTTGATTACTGCTATTATCATTATATCATTTCCGTTATTTATTGTCGAACATGTGAAGCGAACTTTAAGGGACACTTGTACCGGCTGTTCATATTTTTTTTAATTTGAAGCTTGTTGAGTCTCAGTTGGTTATTTTTGCTATCGGATATAAGGATTTTTTTGTACTGAGGTTAGTTGAGTGCGGACTGATAAATTCTCTCTTAGACTGCACTATTTGGAGATGATCTAATTTGGTACATGTATCCGATGTGCGAGCTTGAGGATATTAAGAGACGCTCCCTACTCAGTCAATTTGTGTGGCTACACCGTTTGAGCGATGAGTGAGGAAGTTAATGTGCGTGGTACCCTATTGAGATCTAGCGGAGGGCGAGGAAGTTAGGGGAAATGGCTGCGGAACGTGACTGCAGGAGTTTGAGAGAAGCGAACTCAGTAATTACGGTAGAAACGGGAAATTACCAGTGCGATTGCCGATTTCGTTAATTTGGTGTGTATTGTTGATCGGCGAACCCCTGACCACTATTTCCATACGCCCACTGAATGATGTTTTTCTTAACAAACTTTTCATTCTTACGGGGTAGGAAACTTTTTCATGTTTTCCTATGCTATTGTGTGAAAAAAATGAGCTCAGCATGCTCCATTTTCTCCACCACTGAAGTGCTTATCGGAAACATTGTAAGAAGCCTATCTTAGGTGAAGATCTATTATAAGTTGTTAGAATGAAATAGCAAAGTAGACCAAGAAACATGTAAAGGTGAGAGAGAGGGGAAGCAATCGCATCGTAACAAGGATCACTCCCTACAAGAGCTGAGAGCATGTCAAGACGAACACCCCCATTGAAACCATGATGGTCAGGGTGTCGGTGAGAATGCCAGCCAAGCCTACTCTCAATTTCTGTGTAGTCAATGCCTTGGGGACTAAAACTAAATTTAAAATATAACGTTTTTTAGCGTTTGTGCAGTAGTAAAACTCGTTTTATCACTTTAAATAGACAGTTATAAGCTCTAGAACGAGCCTTTAGTCATCCTACCGTTTCAATTAGTGGCTTAATTTTGCGTTAATGATTAACCCCCAATCTATGCCTTTAAATTAAGCCCAGGCCAAATAATTAAAGAAAATATCTACGGGTTCTTTCATTAGCAAAGTTATTTATACTTGAAAGGAGGTCAAAGAAAAACGCATCACACGGGAAATTGGAAAAAAGAGTGGAAAGCAATACATTAGTTGACCTTCTTAAAGATTAGGGGGGGGGGGGGGGGGGAGAGAGAAAGATAACAAACATACACCGTTGCCCCAAATAAGAAGCTTCTCATAGTTAATTGAACTCATCGTCATCATTTCCCCAGCCATCATCTGAATTACCGGATGATTTCTTCAATGCTTCACTGGAAAAAGGAGGTTGAGGATGGAATCCTCCCACTAGCTCCGACGAATGTGATACGCCACTGCCAATATTGAATGCGGCTAACTGTTGTTCTAGTTCGGCATCAAAATCGTCCAACGCTGAATGGGAAACTGGTTCCGGAGGTTGTGGAGCAGCAAAAATATCAACTCCCTTTTTTGACTCCTCATCATAAGATCCAATATCGTGGAAAGGCTCATCAAACTCTTCGGGTTCTACATCTGCCCCTTGAAAAAATAAATCCACACTTTGATTCTGTTCAGCACGAGCTTGGAAGGCTTTCAGGAAATCTTCAATGGGATCTCGCTTATTTTCCGTGGTAGCTTTAGGAGAGAGCGGAGCTGAGGGCTCACAGGATTCAAAAACATCCACCTTTTCAGATGGAGCCTGTTCAGTAAATTTGAAGGGGTCTTCTTCTTGGGATGCCTTCACATTTACCTTTGAACTAATGATAGGTGATGTCGGTGGGGGCTTGGAAGCTAAGAGGCTCTCCATTGCATTGCTATTCGATTTTAAAAGGTTCTCGTCAACATCCAACAGATCAGTAGTGAGAGATTTTGACATAAGCATCTCCTCAGCAATATCTCTTTCCCACAGAGGTGTCTGTTCAGGATACACTACTGCAGGCATAACTTCACGTCTGCGATGATCGGCAGCAATAAATTTCTCAGCGGCTAGTGATTCCTAACAAGAACGAAATTGACCAGTATATTAAAGTAAATAAAAAATTCTACTGAAAAGTAGGCATTAAAACAAACCTCATAGTGTGGAAAGAGGTTAGAGTATTGAGAAGGATTGGCTAGAGCTTCTGCAGCTTTCGGATGAGAGGCTTGAAGCCAGGTCCTCCATTTTTCGACAGCTTCTGGCACCATGCTTGGAAGATAAGTTCGAGCGAAGAAAGCAGCTTCGGGGAAGCGCTCACTCTTCACAAGAAGCTAAAATGAAACAAAATGCATTAAGCTACTGATTTATTCATAAGTACCGTTGATTTATTTATAATTGAAAACTTACCTCGTAACACCCTTTCAGATCACCAAGGAGGAAAAGTGAAAGGAAGGCGAGGTTATCGACTTTGGCCATAGACGTTTCAGCAGCCAGCTTGGAGATCATTTCACTATCACCACAACTGCTAGCAACTAGTAAGAAGCTTGCATAATCCTGGGTCTTTGAGAAGCAATCTTGCGCCAATCCAAAGTTGCATTCCTTAATAGCGACATCTGCCAACTAAAATAGAAAAATTCAAAAGTGTGATTGAAAAAAAGACAGGCGCTACTTTAAATCATTTAAGAAATAATAACACCCACCTGCTTCCATTTTGCCTCATTGCCATCAACATCTTCATCTTTAATCAACTCATAAGCTGCAGAAACGTCATTCAATTGAATTGCAAGGTCAAATTTATGCTCGGGGTCAACAGTAACTCGCATAGCTTGTTGTTTGAAACCTTGTCTTTCCAAAAAGTGAGCAACCTTGGTTCTTGCAGAAGTAGGAATGTTGGGGAGAATTGCATCCGCGGATTCAAAATCACCCCTTAAAACAGCACTCTCGTATTCAAGAACGGATAGTGAGAGCGTATAGCTTACAACCTGAATGATTAAAAAAGGAATAACATGGATATCATATAAAAAAGCATAAATACTTCAAACAAGACTCAGCGTACTTTAAGGTCACGATTGATAAGGAAGATTCGATTTTCGGAAGCCAAATAACCGAGCAGGTACATTGGCTGATCCAAATGGGCGACAGATACAAGTTCCCCACCAACGTAGTACATCAAACGATTTGTTGAATTGGTGAACAAGAAAGCTTCTCCAAACCAGCATCCAGTCTTAACAGTCTCTTTAACTTCCCCATCTGGGATGACCTAGTAAAAATTAATACAATCGATAAACCACATGCTAACATCACACAGGAGGATGTTTTGTCGATCCACATACCTCAAAAGCAGCTTCTACTCCGTCAGGGTCAGTTACACCTTGAGCAATAGCTTCAGAAATTATTTCTGGTCTGTATCTCAAGATATAGAACCTATCTTTCGTGCAAATAGCCACCTGATGTCCATCCTCTGACCAATGAACGGAAATTGGGTTGACATCAATCCGACGTAGCAGCGTTCCAGTTGTCCAATCGTAGAAAGTAAATCCTGCGACTGATCGAATACCAAGCAGATGGCCTCCAAAGATGTGATCAGCACCAAAGTCAAGTTTAACGCTCTTTGCTTCTTTGAAGTTTTTAAATATCTGTAAAAGAGGAAATGGCATTAAGACTCCATAATACTTAACTTGGGATTTAAGTAGATAGAAGCTAACCTTGAAAGTCGAGTTGGTCTCAAGTACAGCATAGACATTGGGATCCGATTGAGACCAGGCAAACTCTAAGGCTGAACCGAAGGTGCGGTTTCTAAGAGCCATAGCGGTATAGACAACATACTCTCCATCACCACAGACGGCAACAAAACGACCATTGGCGTTGTGAGTAACAGTGTGAGGGAAGATCTCTGAAGCACCCATTTCTTTGTACACTACGGGTAAACGTGCACCGTCCTATAGATGTACATAAACACCCATTTATATAAAAAAGTCAGAAATAAGAGAATATGTACTCGGAGTTGTAATTTATACCTCAATTACTTCCGTGTCGGTTGCCTCAGTACCTGCGGTCATTGAGGCGATAACAGAACGGAGATTAGCGTTGACCATCTCGCTGTGCCGAGCACAGACAAGTTTTCCTGATCCGTCCATAGAAACAGCAGGATGTTCACGACCCAAGGCAACAATAACCGTACCTTCATCATACCCGAGACCAACAACACTTTGTTGACCACCTCCACTACCGCTAGCCCGACATTCAACCGTCCAGACACGACCCAGGCCGTAATTAAGAGTTGATTCAAGACGATAGGTGGTTGAGTGCCAAAGTCGTACTGTATCGTCTTCTGAACCTGTGAGGATAACCGGCAACTCTGTATGGAAAGCAAGAGCTCTGAAACAAATAAGATAGGCTAAGCACAAAGTTAAAATTCAAAGGCAATTAAGGTGAAGAAAACAGTGCTGTAAGTGCTCGAAATCAACCAATTTGAAAATATCCAAATTTTTCGAACTTGGAATTACGCTATTGCCATGAAAAGAAGTATGATAAGTTTGTCAATTAAATTGCTTGATATCTCAGTCAGATATCGAAAAAATAATTTCATTTGTTTCTTTCAATAATAAACAGAAATTTCGCATGAAGTCATACCTAAGATAAAAACTCGAAGACCGATCTATTATGGCTGAAATTTCAACCAGTATCATACCGGTGATATTTCGCAGAAGAAAAGGCTAGCAAAATGCAACAGAAATTGACAGTTTGTAGTGAAAATCACATAGTCCTTCGGAATAGTACAAAAAACAAATCAAAACCCAAAAAATCATGAAAATTCTGGCAAGTTTCACAAATTGAAGCTGAACGAGAGAAGAAAACATGTCCAAAGATGATATTTTAATCCCAAAACATCGGGTAATAACTTACCGGTAGTCTAATTTCCCTATCGTAGTAGAGGCAATTAATAGTTTAGATAACTTACGTAACATTCTGAGCATGCCCTTCAAGAATTTGGACACAGAGCTTGGTTTGATAATCCCAAATTCGGACAGTATGATCGTCAGAACCACTGGCAAGGTAGGGCTTATCGGGAGAGGGATGATAGTCAACACAATTGACTCCCTTCTCGTGACCTTCGAGAGTAAAATTGGCCGTCGAGGAACCGAGCGACCACACCTTAACGGTGTTGTCGAGGGAAGCACTTGCAAAAGTGTTGTTATCTTTTGGATTAATCACTAATTGCATCACATAATGTGAATGACCGCCAAAGACCTGTAGATTAAAAAGCAATAGGTACTACAGTAACAAGCTTATAATGAAAAATGCAAGCGCTGGAAAGTTAAATACGTTTAAAAAGAGGAAAATGAATGGAGTCCTCATAAAATTAAATACATTTTCAGAAAAATTATTTTAAGTAAAACATTTCAAAAACCAAAACAAAATAAAACAATTTCAGAGAAAGATTATTGTAAAAATCAGATTTAAAATTATTTCGACTGTATAAATCTATAAATATATTAGATTTAAACAAAAAAACACTATAAATAAGTAAATAGACCTTATAACTAACGAGTAATTCATTTCTTTCAGAATGACAGAAAACAAATAGGTGAACCGTATATCAATTCCTAATAAAATATTAATTTCACCAGATTGTAAGGGCCATAAATTTTCATTCTCCATTTCCGAAATAATTTAGACAAAGTTATCAAAGTAACCTTATACCTGTGCACATTTCCAGTTTTTCTCCCAGTTCCAAAGCCGAATAGTGGTGTCATCGGAGCACGTTAGGACGAATGGTTGAGTAGGATGAACAACAATGGACCGAATATAATCACTGTGTGCCTCAACCTGCTGATGCACACGCTCAAGTGTGTTGTAATTATATACAGTGAGCTATAAATGCAGCAAATTATGGGATTATTGTGTTTGCAGAGTGGCATTAACAAAATAGTATTGAAGCGACATACATATTGGTTATCTGAACCAGTAACAATCCAATTCATTCTAGCAATAAAACGCACAGCACGAACTGGAGCAGGACACACTTCGAAAGTTTTGATAAGCTGCTGAGATTCTATATTCCAAACGTGAACATTTCCGTTATAAAGAGAGGCACAGATCCATGGTTCAGTTGGATGCAAGTCAATGGCTTTCACTCGATCGGAGCGCGATGACAGCTTCTTGCGAACGTCCAATCGGAGCGGCATAATTAATGCTATTTTTCGCGGTAAATAATCAAAATTTACCTTACTTAAAGATAATTAAACGCTCCAAGCAAACAGCAAATGACGTGTAGCGTCACCCAATGAAAACGTATCTTGTTTCAAAGACTTTATAAAGTCAAACACAAATATATATTCGATACCAAATCTAAGCTACATAGTATAATATCATTTGATAATCTTAATAAATACTCAAATTTGGCCACAGAGATATATTTTTATTGTAGTTTTCACTGGTTCATACTCTTTTTTAAATTAGTCTGTATAATTTATGTAAATGCAATATCTATGCCAGCATTGCAGTTAAAAAATTATTGATTTGAAAGTGTATCGTTATAATAATATAGATTCCTCTTAGATTTAGCTGAACTGCATTGAGTTAATGCATAAAATTTATATAACGTCCATTTATGTCAATATGATATACTACATTACTTATTTTAAAAGCAGTAGTTAGGTTAAGATAATTTGTATTATGCATCTAGAACAATGCGTCAAAATTGATCTTTTTTCAGTTTTAAAACTTCTAGTATATTTTGAGCAAATAAAACTGCTCTGCCATCATTTCATTTTAATAACAAACAATTTATTCAATAGAAATTCTAAAGTTCACCAAGAATATATTCTTATCTGGAAACTACTAATCGTGAGTTAGATAGAGTCGAGTTGGCTAGTTTACGCAACGGCATTAAACACTGTCAAATATTTTTCCACATATTTGAAAACCAAATTACCAGTTAAAGTTAAAATGAAAATCTCCCATATAGAACTCGAGTTCACAAATATTTATATGCGCAACATAAATCTGTAGTGTCCGTTATTGATCAACGAGTAAAATGGTAGAAACTTGTATTTATAACTCTTCAGAGCAATCAAACTTAATCAGCAAAATGCGAAATAATTCAATTTGGAAACCTGCTCAAACAATAACGCATATTCCCCGAGTGGATAAATGATACATTTCTGTGAAGTCTTCCAAAACATTGCTTTTAAATGCATTTTAACTACCAAGAACCTATTGCATGTTATATTCGACCTCTTCCACAGTACTCTTCTGGCACTTTTCTCTTTACATCAGTTCCGCCTTTCCACCTTTTTGTGACTTTGTTGTTCATAGCTTCTGTAAAGCCTGAAGTCAGCTAAAGGGATAATGGTAACTATAAAAAAGCCTGTAATTTGATATAATAAAAACTAATGTCGAAAATATTCCTAAAGATATTAGATAATTTTATGTCAGTGGTTTATAAATTTTGAAATAGAAATAAGTCAAAATAAATAAACGTGAAAAATTAATCGGATGATTAAAGCGATGTATGATTGGGAACGTTAATTATCAAACCGGTTGAATGGTCTGTGTTTTACTATAACTATTGATTCAAATTTCCAAAATAAATATCAAAATTGATTTTCCATTAAATTTCAAAGTAAAAATAAATCTTTTATTTTGAATTATATTCAACCTGACCGAATAGAATTCATTTAAAACAGTCCTTTGGTTTTATTCAGTCAATTTATGAACTAAGTGCGACAATTTTAAAGGGAGCCATTTTTCTTAGTCGAGGTAGAAGGTTCGTCATTAATTCCTCAGATATGCCAGACATCAGTTTAAAATTAAAGGCACCAAATAATGAGAAGTCAGTTACCGTGAAAGACGATGGAACAGTTAAAGATGTAATTCTTGTGTCTTTCATTTATTATTATTTAATAGCTACGCGCGGAAGCTGGTAAGGCTTTTGAAGTTTCCCCAACTCGAGTGTGTTTAATCTACGCTGGCAAAATTTTGAAAGATGAAAATTCCCTTTCTGAACACAAAATTCACGACGGTCTGACAATTCACGTTGTCATTAGAGTAAGTAGAATCATTATTATATTTCTCGTTCCTGTAGCAAGAGCAAAATCCAGGTGCACAAGGAGGCTCTTCTACAACGACTGCATCTGCTAATCTAGCAAGTCCTTCCACGACACAAACTCGTCCGTCTGGAGCCTTTGATCCTCTTGGCACGCAGGCTGCAAGCATCTTCGGTTCTGGTGGTGTTAATTGTATGTTAATCGTCTTAAATCAATTTGAGCATAGTCCATCATTTCTGCTATAAATTTATTGGCCCTTTGCAGCTTCTAGCTTCGCCTCCATGCAACAGCAAATGCAACAACAGGTTATGCGTAATCCAGAGTTGCTAAGAAATGTCATGGAAAGTCCGCTAGTTCAATCTTTGATGAGTAACCCCGAGGTTATGCGTTCCATCATGCAGTCAAATCCACAAATGCGGGAAATAATGGAGGTTAGTGGTAGTCTTCAAAAGAATTGGCATTTTTGTATTGTTCTGGAATGTTCTCATGATTTTCTCTTTAGCGGAATCCGGAGCTGGGCCAAATGTTGACGAATCCAGAAATTCTTCGCCAATCCATGGAAATTGCTTCGAATCCTGCCCTTGTTCAAGAAATGATGAGATCATACGATCGGGCTGTTCTTAACCTTGAATCTATTCCGGGTGGTAGTGGCCACCTTCAACGAATTTATCAGGATGTTCAAGAGCCTATGCTTAATGCTTTGCATGGCGGAGATAACAATCCATTCGCTGACCTTGCTGGTACGCTTTTGATTTTTTTAAATGACTTATTTCATATCTATTTATTCTATATTTCGAAATATTTTAATCCAGGTTCAAATCGGAGTAGGTCTATTTTTTATTTAATGTTAATTTCAGTGCTGCGGTGTTTATGTCCTATTCGCTTTAACTTTTAAGTAAAATTGAAGCGTTTTTTATTGTTATTCCGCTATCTGGCGCTTTTGCTTAATGAAATGGTATATTATTTTGATCGGACTATCAGCTCAAAGTAACGTACCATTCGATCTTGAGGCATTTAAAATACGAGCCACTAAAATCTAAGTGCTTAAATTAGCACCCAAATACTCTGTCGAACTCTTCCTCTATGGTTTCTATCGTATTCTTTAAATTAACAAATGATTATATGTCGAGTTACGTTTTCGTTTTTTGCTTTTTTGAGAAGCCTTCTAGTGAATTCAGTAAACATCATTAAGAACTTGAATCCTGTTGAATTTTGGAAGATGATCAACAGATCTGTTAAATCATTGGATATTCATCTTAAACACGAGGCTTGGTGTGCTGTTGGCTATCACATTTAAGCTTCTTTAAGTTCATACTAATCTCATCTTGTCGATTGCTTGTATATTCATTTAAAGTTTTAAGCGTATGTCTTTAGTCAGTGGTCATTGGGTCACTAAAGGCTTTGATATTTACTAGTCACAATAGTGAAATTCGTTTTTTGTTAAAATATTCTTGTGTTTTTTAAGGTTATGCTGTAGTTTTTTGTGCAATTAGTTTGGTTTATTACTGTTATTTGTTTGCGTAACTTATTGATTGTATATTTTCGCACTAACATCCAGTTTTACACGTTTAAGTTCTGAAAACTATATCTTGTTTTAGAAATGCTGATTTTATATAGAACGCTGCTCATACTTCAGCTCAAAGTGAAAATAGTGCACTTTACTCCCAACTGTTATTTGTTTCACTATTTGGCAAGCCAAGAGTTAAGCCTTTATTTAGTATAAGTTGAAATTCTTCGTTGCTTTGATCTGCAGATGTTGTCAAAACTCCACACAGTGCTTCGCCTTAGCTTTCGTTTATGTCACAGTTTAGTAAGTGGGCTATTTAATGTTTATCTTTGTGTTCAGGAAGTACAAATAGAACTGCAGCGCCATCCAATGAACCAATGCCAAATCCTTGGGCATCCCAACAACCACTGTCTGAAACCAGCACTTCGGTGTCTGGTACTACCGGAACAACTGGTACTACCACTGGTAATGGGTCATCAGCTACCACCAATCCAACAGGAGTATCACTTCTTGGCGGAATTCCTTTCAGTCCTGATGCCATATCATCTGCTTTTCAAGCACCCTATGTTCGATCAATGCTTGATTCTATGGCTAGCAGCCCCGAGGCGTTTGAAGCCTTCCTTTCAGCAAATCCCCTTTGGAACGGAAGCAATATGGAACCTGCCTCTCGTGAGCAGGTGCGCCGAATGCTTCCACAATTCGCTCGCCAAATGTCTCGTCCTGGTTTCGTCAACATGCTTTCGAACCCAAGAGCTATGAGTGTGAGTTTTCTAATTTTGGTTTTCCCTTTTGAATGCATGTTTGTAACCTTTATCTTTGTTCTAATAGGCAATGGCTCAAATTCAGGAGGGTTTGAGGGTCTTGCAACAAGAAGCCCCAGATGTGTTTGCTTCAATGACGAATTTGAGCAATGCAACTGGTATTAGCGGTCTATTTAGTGGCGCAACTGAAAGTGCTGGTTCTGGTGAGGTAGCTCAATCTGAGAGTGGCACTACTACTGCTGCTGCTACATCTGGAAATGCTGGAAGTGCTGAATTAGCTACATTAATGGCTAGTTTGCTTAATGTTGCTCCATCTAGCCAGGATTCAGTTAGTTTTTATAACTCTTAGCTTGACCTTTTCTCCCTCTTCATGATTTGAATCGATTTATTTGTTGTTCGCTTAGGCTGCTTCTCAACTGCCTCCTGAAGAAAGGTATAACGCTCAATTACAAACTCTTGCCAACATGGGTTTTGATAATAGGACGGCCAACCTACAAGGTGAGTTTTGTTCAACCCTAATGCTTTAATTGGTAGTGGTTTGTATTGACGTTTTTGTATTGTAGCCCTCATTTTGACTCATGGAGATGTGAATGCGGCAGTAGAAAGGCTCCTGGATCAAGGACATTAGGGTGTGCATGACAGAATGAAAGCGAGGGTCTTATTCGCTGATTGATGTCTATTTCGCTCTTTCTATGTCCCGCTGTCCACGTTGGTCGCCACGCGTTTTCCTCCCGTTTTCTATTTTCTCTCATGTAACCACAAGCCTTCTCCCATGGTCCATCATCTCATGAAATTCTATCTCAACGCGCATATACTTGGTATAAACCAATCTGCAATTTCTCCCTCTTGTTTGTTTCTTGTGTGCGTATGGGTGTGTTCGTATGCTCGCTTCCCCTCAGCAAATTAGTCGATGATTTATATTATGCGTCTATTATTATAAACGGGAAATAAATATATAAACATTGGTGTACACTTCTGTATCAAATTCATCTTATTTGTTGGAGTAACATATTGTTTTACTGGCCAATCTATTGGTTTGGTTTTCTTTCATTCGAATGTAGTAAAGCAGCACGATAATTGATTTTTTAATTAGACTCGTGGTTATTTCAATTAACGAGGAAGCATTGAATGGCTCGGATCACACTGAACTAATTCTGTGCTTAGTGGGCGTGCTGTTTTGCAATGAAGTCAAGGGAGGAAGAGGTTGTTTGTATATTCAGATCTTTCTTAAGGAGCGTATTATTTAACACATGGGAAGGGGGGGGGGTCCTTATGACTGAAGTCTCCTCAAGTAACACTCATCTGGGTGAAGGGGGGAGGGAGAATAGTTGAGAAACATCATCATGGGTATGTGCGAGAAAACTCGGTAGGACGGGGAGGGGAGCGAGGGGAATGCGTAAGGTACACTAAGTTAATTATTTTTGTCTCAGACAAGGCCGACTCTACTCCGTGTAGTCGCTTGAGCAAAAAGAAAAATTTAAGGAAGTTGTTGCACGTTATCGACTTTTGAAGCCATTCCTTGCATTAAAGTATCTTCATGGGCGGGTTTTGCTATTATCATTTTTTAAAATGAGGCATCGTGGTAATATACAATGTACTGCGGG